GATACCAAGCATTTCAGACTGATAGAACAAATATTTCAGAAATGGTAATTATAACGACCCTTCCTGATATTAATAGTATGTTTATTTTTATTACTCTCATTTTCATTCTTTTCTGTTTTTGAACAATATGCAAACTTCATCTGAGGAAGTGGTTGGTTTTTATAACCATTTCTCCTATATGTGTGCTTTGTGACCCTGAACAAACATCTTAATGTATATAATCTTTATTTTCCTTCTCTATAAAATTGGTATAATAATATCTACCTTTCTAAAACACTGGCATTTTTATAAATTTTTGGGGGGTAGGGGCCTTCGTATTGTTGTGTGTGTGTACAAGTGCCTAACACAATGATTCTTGATTGGTGGCTTCTAAATGCTACAGCAGTATAAATAATTTAAGACAGAATATAATTGACCCGAAGTATATAATTGACCCAAAGCATTCCCAGCCATTGTATCTAATATGTAGTTACAAATATTAACTTTCTCATAAAGATACTGGCCAAAGTAATAACAAGAAATTATTTTTATCAAAATCTTAAATAACTGAATTTTGGTCTAGAATAACACTATAATTCTGTTCCCATCCTGATTGCTCTTGGGGATATAATACAAGATTTTAAAAAATTGCTAATGGAAGCTGTGAGAGTCCAGTAGTGTGTAAGATACTGAGTGAATCAAGTGCTTTAAAAAACTTTATTCTGAATGTGAGTCATTATTGTAGTTGCAAGCATCTGAGCAGTGCAAACAGTTTACTGAATAGAACAAAAAAATGTCTTAAGTGATGGCTGCAGTATGTTTATGGTTGTCAAGGTTTCTGATAAAGGAGATAATTTTGTTGTGAGCATTGTTCGGAAATTAGGCCTTTGAAGGCATGAATAGCTGAAAGAGACAGTTAGAAGTACTTGTAAAGATAAATGAGTAGGAGCAATTCATTGATGACAGATGGCTGGTATTTGAATCTGTGGGAGACATAGCAGAAGTTGATGAGCTTATTAGTGAGTTCCATAGTAATTGCATTGGGGCATGCAAGTGCATGGCCTCTGGGCAGCCCAGCAAGTGTTTCTTCACCTCAGTTTCCATTTTGATTCCTCACATAGTAACTCAGAACAGCCTTTGAAGCATATATGTTGCTCTCTTTACACAGTTAATTTATTACCAAAGGCCCCACTACCGTAAATCAGGCTCTCCCAGCACAATCCAAACATTACATTTATCTCAACAGTCCAAATCTGGCTCTGGTGTCTCGTACTTACACCTCTGCTCAGCTCTCAGGTACGACTTTGACCTCCTTCACCATTCTTCAGTAGTTAGGGTGTTACTCTGCCCTGTGTCATTCATGGGAATGGTTCTACCTCTTGCCTAGATACATAAGTTGGGCTCAGCCCACCATTGTTCCCCTATCTTCAAACCTTTCTGGTATTCCAGCTTCAGGTCACCAGCTCCGAGACCTGCAGCCATCTCGCTTTGCTGATCTTAGTCTGCAAGTCCTCTCTGACCTGGCTTTCTTGCCTGGGGCCAGTTACAGCCTGCTGACTTCAATGTTCCTGCCTTCTACTTTCACTTGTCTGACCTGGCTCCACTGTTCAACCAGGGAATTTTCACCACTCCTTGTTTCAGAGTGTGCCTTCACTGAAGCTGTCAGCTGTGTTCTGCTCTTCCTCTGAGCTTTTCTGGCTCTAAGGTTTATGGGTTCTCTTCCTTTTTAAACTCTGAGCCTGAACTTTCTATGCACTCTTTTAAGATGCTGGGCACTGGGTTCTGAACTCCCCTGTCTGGATTTTGAATTCTCCTTTATAGCTCCTCAGGCAGCCTCAACTTCCTCATTACACCCATTACACTGAACTGGAATGGGGGAGTTGAGCCCAGTTTTGTTTAGATCAGACTGATGGAAGATTGAGGAAATACCAATTTCAGATGGCATTTGGGGGCCTGTTTCACTGGCCACTGAAGCAAGTGGCAAATCTTAAGTGGTAGATCTGGATAATCAGGTGAAAGAAAGACAGACAGACACTGGGATGAAGTTAAGGATACAACATTATTAATTTAGTGCTGCCACCCAATTTTATGTGCTCACTCTTTCTCGTATATAAGCAGTTATTTGGGCCCCGTGCAGGATACAAGACTTATACCATATAACTAGGTGTAATCAATAACTCTTCAGCCAGGTCCCTACAACTCAACATACTTAGCATCTTCTCACCCTAACCCCTTTGAGGAGTGTGGAGTGTATCATAGTGGATCTCAGACTGGGATACTTCAGGTCTCTTTCTCCCTACCGGTAATCAGTCCTACCAGTCATACCCTCAGTCTCATTTATCTGTGGGAGCTGGCCCTTTAGCCTTTATTCTCACTGGACACAAATATCAACTAATTAAATATGCTTATACTGCTTCCTGTATTTAAAATTCCTAATTTTACTGTTTTAATATAAATTGTGCACACATGCAGCTGCAAAGAAGGTGGAAAATCCACTGGATCCCTGCCAATTTGGTCTAATGGGAAAAAATATATCAAGAGAGGCAATTGGTCAGATCTCTGGCATCCTGGAAAGGCAGGTCAGTGTACCTCAAATACAAGGAAGGAGGGCAGGATGTCAGTGATGGCAAGATCGGGCTCTAGTCACCTGCAAAAGCTTTAATTTGAGGGGACTTGTGAGAGCCAAACAGATCCTTTCCAGCTGTCCAAAGCACAGTCCTGTGTGTACGCTGAAACACAAATTTAGGCACAGCACTGGCATGTCAAAGGACTGGTCCACATTATGAGCTAAGGTCGACATACACTCATTACAAATTTGACCTAATGCCGAGTATCTACAAAAGATTTGATATTAAGTTGAAGGTCCTTTAACTGATACAAAGATAGAAAAGATGAACCAATATTTATATAAAATACAAAACTATTACAGTATTTAACTTTGAAGTCATACAGTTGAAATCACAAATTGGTAAAGAAGTCTAAAAAGATTAAAATAGTGATTTTAGTCTGTCCATGTTTCACATCCTCTGATTTTATAGTATGTATTCTACAACATAAATGAAAGAAACTACACCTTTAATCAGAAAACAAGAATAAAAATTACTACCCTCCTTTTGGAACTTTGCTTTTACATGTTTTACAGTGTTTCATTTTGACTCTGCAATTTCTTTGTATTTAATTTCCTAATGTGCTCAGTTGTAATGGGGAGAAAAAGAAAAAAGCTCAAATTATTTGACTTGCACAATTTTAAAAATATCACCTTGTAAGTTCCTTCATTCATATCTGGCAGAAGTATGAGACAAGAGACCTTAGGGGA